GCGATCGTTTGCTTTGGCAGATCCAATCTGGTGCGAACTTATAAAACCGAACAACAGAACCTCGAAAAATTTTTGTGATCGAGAATTCGCTAGGGATTTGAAGCGAGTATTGTCTTTTAACCATTTCATAGCGTTTGCTTGAATATTTAGTACACAAGTGTGTTGAAAGTTTGTTGTTTCTAACTGTATGTAATTATGTTCTATAGATCTCCTTTGCCAATAGATAAAGTTAAAAAAAGTATGTATGTAAAAAAGTCTGTATATATTATCCGGTGTGAAACTTTATTATTATTTAGAACACGTTTAAAGGTTCAGCGGTGTATGCGTTAAGCTATATTCGAATTGGCCTTGACCACTTCAGTCATAACCGCTTACTCAGTTTTGCCTTTCGTTTTCTTACTCCCCTAGCCGGAAATGAATAGTGGGCTTAGGAAAGAAGTGCCAGGAATGATTTTATGTTTCCATTTTCTTTCGATTCGATCCTAAGACTATCAAAGCTATCCTGGAATAGTCTCCGATTAATTTAAGTAATTGCTTTGAACTGTTTTAATTGGTATGCTGTTGATGACAGGCGTTACCTTGTCTTCGACAGAATAGGACAGCTTTTAAGTAAGAAGTTTGGATATATCTCTAGATCTATCGAATACTCGGTTAACTGATAATCTTGAAGAAAGTTATTGAAACCGCCGTGAAGGTTATCTGCTGTACCAAGTACAGACTAATAATATATAGTCAGAAATTCTTTGCGTGTATACCAATGTAAATGAGAACACGAATACTGCAAGAAATTGCCGCACCAACGTGCTTATATACCCTTATATATTCTGGTATTTTAACAAACAAAAAGCCAACCGCTGTGTGGGGTATATAAAAAGCATACATGTCTAAGTAATCCTTTAAGTTATATGCTTGCGTTTCCATTTGTAAATGAAGGTATAACACAATTTGATAATAGCACCTAAAGCGATATAATAGACCTAGGGGTTGCACTTATTTTAGTAGAGAATCACGTTGTTGCATCTTAATTCATAAATGGAGGTTTCTCCCTATTGCGTTTTCAATAGACCGTTCTTCTACGTTTCGTATATAGGCGTATTTTTAGTGAATAGGAAGTCATGAAACTATGACAGATAATTAAGAATATAACATTCGATATGACAAAGCCACTGTATTTTGTAAAAAAAGACAATTTCCCGTTATTTTTTAGCCAGTCTAGTTGACAGTAAAGCTTTAACGTCTCAATTTTTTGTACGCATTTTCGGCGGCAAACATTGCCACGTGATATATAATCCGCGCTACTTCCACTCTATTGAATATTGGTGATGCAAATACTGTTGATTCTTATTTGTTTCAATAAAGTAACCTAGGTCGTCGGGGTTATTTTTTTCGACGTGACTTTTCACTTCAATTAATGATTAATCGTAATACGTACCCAGTATCTAAAACATTTACCTTTGGTTTTCACGGTGACGAGACTGTAGTAGTTTCAAATACATGTAAAATATCTATGTGATTTAAATCGAACACGTGTGCTAACTAGCTTGACCGTGCCCTTAACACAACACAACATTGAGTTTGTTATGGTGCTGTGCTTTTGTGTGTAATTGCATTCGGTATAACGTATTTTTTTAAATAATGCTTCCGCTGTTCTAATGAAATCTGAGTGTAAAAAATTCTAAGTTGTCTTCAGCCAATTTGCATTACGTAAAATACGGTGCCAAAAGTGACGACGTTGTTCAAAAGTTCGTTAAAGTTGATTAACATTTTCGTTTCTTCCCTATCCAGCACGGATCAATCGATGGTGCTATGATATCATGGCTTGAAGCACTGCCGGTCATTAGTGTACATACCATTATACCATTACTAGCCAGACAGAAACGGACCAACTTGGGGGTGCCCTGAAAGCAAGCGGCTGAACGAGCCGAATCGAGTTACGCCAACAACATCGGACTTGCAGCTCTCAACGGGAGTCAGGCGGGCGATACGTCGTCGTACGTTGCCTGCCTGCTACAACTCTTGAACTTCGCACTTGCTGCTGTTACTACCGCAGCCTCTGCTCGTCATCCGACATCCCCAGCTGTAGCAGCAGCAGCAGTCGACGCCCCGCTAGGCCAAAAGTTCTTGGGGTGGCGAGTGGTAGTCGAATGGGATGAAGAGGCAATGCGCGGCATATAGTGAGCACGAAAAGTCAATTGGTCCGAGGCTCAGAGCCAGACCCAAAGTCGTCTGCGGCCCAAGGGGACGGGGACGAAGGCCTACGCTAAGGGATTATTGTGGAGCCAAGAAGCGAGGCAAATGGAGTGAAAATTCGTTCTTGGCTTGTCGGCGACTTGGCAAAAAAGCAAGGCTGAGGATAAAAACGGGAGAATGGACAAAGCACCCGCCGAATAGTTGTACTAGCGGGGCTGATGGTGGTAGTAGAAGTACGGTACTATTTTAAGAAGACTTGGGATGTGGTCCGGGGACAGGCGTTTAAAAGTGGGGCAAGAGGCTGAGACGCTTGTCTGCTTTTGCTTCCTCTCACTTTTTGTATTGGTATCTCCGGGTTCAAAACACGCAGTAGAGCAGGTCAGTTCATCGCGCTTCTTGTCCTGAGGATATTAATTTAGTCGTTTCCGCCAGCAGCGGACTTCTCACGGACCGATGATTCAACAAACGATGAAACTGGCTGGTCCAACCTAATCTTCAGAGAACTAAAGGAAAGTAGAGCAAAGCCATCGTTTAACTACCTTACACTTTCAATCATTTTAAAAGATGTCGAAGATATTTCGTCGTGTTAATTATTTGTAACCATATTTTAGAGATCAATTATGATTAAGCATGCTTATGGTAAAGAACTCCCGAGCCGTTGTCTATGACAAAAATATTATTCCAGATAAACAATGCGATTTGTACAGGTGCTGCAGATTTTAGATCGGTATATTTCATATAGGATGGGGGGTTCGTATAATGATAAAAACTTGGCAGATACTTGGCAGAGTTTTTTTCACGCATTCGACTCAGAATTGATGAAGACGTCGGATTAAAATATATTTAAAATATTCACTGCGAGAATCGTATTATATTAAGTATTGTAAGACCATTCATTAGATAAAGATGTATGATTATAACGAAAAAAATTGACTAATGAAGCGGTAACTCGGGAGTGCTTCGGTCGGCATAAAAGCAATGTACCATAATTGTTATATTTGGGTCGTGAAACCAACGGTTATGAAGCCGATGTTTTTATCCATACTTCTCTCCATGGAATCTTCGGAGAAAGGCGGAAGGCAGAAGATTCTTTCTATAAAAGCGCCTTGTATAAGATAGTAATAAATTATAGCTCTTAGATCTGAAAAATAATAAAGATCATTTTTAAATAAACTGTTTATAACTGCTGATGAAATAAGACTTATGTTTCTTCTGGGGAGCATTCAGCTTGTAGGTGAGGTCTTCGAGTCTCCTACTACCCAATTTCTAATACCGAACTTAGAACTACTCTATGTAGGGGGTCCCCTTATCCAATTCAAACTTATAGATGAGTAAATAGAGAACGATGGAGCGTACCCACGTTATAATACCTCTTTGTTCGTTTGGAGCGTTTATAACGGGTGTAACTTTTAAAGCAAGTAGGTTCGTCTTCTAGCCAAAAATGTTATACTTTCGATACCTTTGTATTTTTTTTTTATATATTTCGATATAACTTACATGACCGACTAATTACCAATCTAAATGTGGTCCCTCGTTAACGTAAGAGCAATAGTTTTTTCTGCAATAGGCCTTGTCCATCGCATAAATAGAGGCTGTAATAATTTTCAGGTAGAAGTTAATATTCACAATGGGGGCAATAAAGGAAATTTTCTGTATAGCCATCATTGTGAATATGTAGGTAGAGGTATATTTTTTTAAAATATATTTTTTGTGGCAAATTTACAGAGCACAGAAGATCAAAATTGCACGATTTATAAACATCTATTGGTTGGCAAGGATTCCACATATGTCCTATTACTGTATGGTACATAATTTAGACATCCGGAATAAACATGTAATTGAAAAATGTATAAGCTGTATTTTGTATATAATAATGTCTATACGAATGAACTGCATTGTTAAAATTCTGAATCCGATAAATGAATTTCTGATTATTTGTAAAATTTATATAATAATATAACAAATAAATTTGTTATATTATTCCACTGAGTGCCTAACTTGTTACACGATGCAGCTTAGTATTACACTACCCAGATGTTGCTGTAGAGAGGGGATCGGTTCTTGACTTAACTATTTGTTTTGCTCTTCGTTTTCTTGCTATTGCTACTGTGTGAACAAGCCTTTAATGTGACCGTTTCGATATAGCATCAAAGATCTGTTTTCGGCGATGGGTTCTGATGATCGATTTAGCATTTACCTATTTTTATTTACATTTTTCAATATAGCCAAACACAAGAAAATAGACGTGGAAATAGACTTAAAGTAGTTACTACAATTTACTTCATTCTCTTTCATGGAGGCTCCCTTTTGGCTCCCTTACGACTTCTCATATCTGGCTGATGCACCAATCCTGAAAAGCTTGAGGTCTATCTCAGTTCATAATAATTATTTTTAAGCGGACGTAATTTTTGTCACTGCGGGTGCTATTGTTGTAGCGGTTGTTCATACGTAGTAAATCTACTGATATTCTGACATAGTTAGACAAATGCTTCTGAATTGCTCAGAAGCCTTGCTAGCATTGATAAAGGTTGAAAATAATAGAAAATGGGTTCCGGATCGCCTTATCTGCCGTTCCGCTATAAAAGAGTATATTAAGTTGTTGGGGTATCTGTTGCATACAGTTATTGTCGAAAAGTGAGCCAACGTTGTGTGAGTCAAGTGAGCCAACCCCATAAACGAAGCTGCCGTTGCAGCGGGCTGCTCTACGTGACAAAGCGTCACGTCAGTCTTGTCAGAACTTCATCAAAATTAAGCAGAACCTGACGAACTAACTGGAGCTCTATTATGATCTCCCTATTTTTATATTTAAGATCAAGAAAGCAGCGAAGTCTAGTTGTTTTCCCAACTTCATTGGAGTGACAAATCGGACTTCGTACGGTACCTTGATTTAGGCGGTCCGAAAGATAACAAAAGGAATCAGCTCTAGTGGACAAGCCTGGCCGTACTAGTCCTGCAGACTGAGAAGCCCACATAACCTGTTATCGACAATGAGCTGGTGAGTGTTGCATTAGTGAGAGCGGTGTCGAAATAAGGGTAGTATCAACGTGTTTTTGGAACATACCGACGTGTGGCCTCGATTACGGGCCATCAAGAAAGCTGTCAGGCTCGCTGCTAGCTAGCAGGAGCCTTAGTTTATTGCGGGGGAAGTTGAAACCGATGCGAAGCAGGTAGGAACTCCTTGATGTCTTTGATAGTCTGGCATACGATGGCATCTTCGGAAGGTCTTTCCTAAACGAAAGTTTTGTTTTGACCAATAAACAGCTTGATACATTCTATTGCACATCAGTATTCTTGCGTAGTGGCTGCCAGGCGGATTGAGGAAATGCGCAGCAATTGGCCTACCCGAGGCGACGGTTTAAATAAATGGAATTCGCTGTTTGTGTTCTATCAGAAAGCTTATGATGCCGTATAGCGTGGTAACCGAAAGTCTCTCCTTTTAGAGAGTGCATGATCCTGATAGCCATCTCGAGAAGCGGCATGTGTGCGTGAGAGACGGCATCCGATCAGGCCGAGCTCAGGAATGCGTACACTCCCTAAATTGGAAGCTTCCGGTACATCTAGTTGCCCGCCGGGCGTACTATTCAGACATACTACTCAGTATCGAAGAACTGAAGTTGCATGGGCTTAATCGAAATCGCCTAAAGGAGTTGCTGCGTGACGAATTTGGGCATTTATTCAGAAGACTAAAGGGTTTCGCGCTCCACACGGTCCCGATAGGCAATACACGTGTGTACACAGTGCTGCTTATTAAGAGTGCGTTAAAAGAAAGATTGGATTGGTCAAGTAAAATCGCTCATCCAAACTAGAGGTCATAGAAGCAACACACTTGCACGCAGGTCTGTATAAAGCGAAATTGCTGAACTCTACTCTTGCTTCAGTTAGCACTTTGTATTTTTAGATTTAATATCGAATTCAGTAATATTATTTGTTGGAGCAAACCTTGACTGTAGCGCTTTATACGTTCATCTCTCCATCTTAATTTTTTGTTAGTGAATTAACCATTTAATTTAGGAGTGTTCTTTTAGTCGGCAATTTAAATGTAGATCTGCCTTTACTATTCGTGGATTGCTCTGGCGTAACGAGCCCGCATCGCGAGGGAAATACAGCATATTCTAGCTGACTAGATAATCGAACTTTTTTTTGCCTTTGGGTTTCGGCTGTCGTCTTCCTAAAAAAAAGGATGGTTTGATTCGGTTTTTGTATAGGCTAGTGAAGATTAAATGAAGACGATGTCTTCGACCCGTTAAGGGCCCAATATATTTTCTACATTAGAAACCGCGAGCGGTTACTGCTGGATCCACATGGCGCGTCATAACGGAGAAAAAACGACATTTTGCACCCCCAAATAGCTTATATCAATTCAAGCGGATACCTTTTGGGCTGGCTAAGACTCCAGCGGCATTCCAGCGGCTAAGGATACGAGTTCTTCATTAATTTGCCATCCAAATGGATTGATTTACTCAGATAGTATTTTTCAGAAAGTCGATCATTTCTCTTCTGTTCCCAGTACTTCGGGTTTACACTTCAGGCTGTCAAAATGTTTAGAAATGGGATACCATAGAGTTTCTACGCAAAACATCGTTCTCGACCCAAAGAAAAAAGTCGCTATAGATGCTCTGGAGTCACCTTGATCGTCCGCCAGTTGCGAAGCTTCTGACACCGTAGCCGACCAAAGAAACTGGGCGAGATTTCGCGGGATTTCCAAGCCACGACTTGCGCGGCTGTTATCCAGTAGAAAGAAATGAAAAGTTGGTAAAGGCGTACGGTAGTAGGCGGCTTCCGGCCCAGAAAATGAAATAGCATCCGTCAGAGATCGAATGTTTTTCTGCTGTCTGGACAAGAAGAATTTTCGGTTCTACCCGCAGGGGTGGCGGTTCGCGATTGTTGCCTGCCGTGGTAAGTACCTGCATGTTACAGGGTAATTTTGCCCGATAAGCCTTCTTGTTACTGGGACACTAGTTCGATGTCTGACACTAAGTGGCACGGCCAACACCTTGTCATGTCTACACGTTCCGATGCTTCGGATCAAGATCATGTCGCAGCGCTAATTCGGGTCAATTGTAGCACACCAGCTGGCGAGTCTACGCTGGGTTCCTGCGGTAACCACACTTCAGAGGCGGCAAAGTTACCCTGCTATGCGAACGTGAAATGATGATCGAATAACTATTGCGTGGAGAGTCGCTTACCATTCTAGGCCGCTAAGTTTTCGACGGAGCCTTCCCCAATCGGTTGAGCCAGCGGCGCTTACTCTATCTTACCAAGGTCATTTGGGCGTGACGATGATCTACCGGTTGATGTCCCGCTACTTCCCAGAGTGTGGAATAGAAGTAGGAGTTTAAGGTATGTTCGCTGTTGAAGCGCCTGTCAAAGATCAAAGTTGAGACATGAGCGTCGGCTGCCTAAGACGTTTTTGGATCCGTCGATACGATCTGTCGCCGAAGTGAATTTGGAGTGTACGGGATGTGCTATTTTATTTATTCGAGTGAATATAGACTATTGCACTCATTTCGTGAACTTTTTCCAAGCCCGTTAAATGACAATTCGAGTCATGCAAGAGGCAATGACAATTCGAGTCATGCAAGAGGCACTGTCTACCATTTAGGATCGCTGCGGAGCCACACCGGCGTTACGGGTAACGCAAGTTACTTCTAGGGTCGGCACGTCAAACAATATTTGACGCGTTCCAATGCTCATTGTTAGAGCTGCTGTAGTCCACCTGCAAACGAACGAGTTGGTAGAACGGGCGATCTGCACGTTATGGAGTGGGTATCTGCGGGGTTACAAGAGGCGCCTGGCTCCCTTGTTTCCGCAAAGCTTCCGCAAGTCGCCTTTTGCGTGCACATTACGCTAAGTGAGGCTGCAGGATAGCAAAGCCGTATCGTTCGATGAACCTGAGTCGCGGTCAGTCCGTACCTGAGCTTCGGAAAGCGGCCCACGTTCAGTTTTCCCGGCGGAAGAGGGTACCTTAAATACCCTCATTCCTTTCGCACTATAGCTCGTTGTCCTACGCCGCGGCCCCAACAGTGCGACATGTTCTGCAGGTCACTGCCTAAAATCGGGTCTTCATGGAACATCATAAAACGGATTGCGCAGTAAATCTATTGATGATGCCGGCCGAACCAGCGAGCTATCAGTGCCACCCTACCCGATATCCTGAAGGACTGGGTGCATGGTAAAGGCATCACACTTGATGTGGTCGAGTGAAATGGTATATATTTTAGTAATAAACGTATTTAAATTTGGGATATATAGGAGGTCAATTAACCGCTAGTCACCAGTTATCGCAATATACGTATATAGGCTAGGGTTTTCTAATTTATTGAATTCATGCTACTTTGGTTCTTTTCCAACTGTAGGTTCTAATTATTGAATCAGGGTTTGCAGTAAGCTTTTTCACAACGTTTAACATAGTTTCTCCTTTAAGCATTAATCATTTTCTCTAATACTCTGTTTAAGGAGGGTTAATCTGCGCATCACAATTTAAGCAACGGAAACCAGCAAAAGGAAAAACGCCAGCATATCAGGTAAGGCCATTTGATTACAGTACTATATGTAAAATAAAATTACTATTGAGCATAATATCCTGCTATCCTGCCTAAGGTGCTTCAGGTCAAAGCGATTTTAGATAGTATAACCGTTGGCAGCTAGTTGTGAAACATACTAGGACAGCTGTGAAACATACTAGGACAGCTATAGTTAGGCCAATCATCAAGGGGTCATCTGTGTTCGGCAAATGATTAAGGGCAAGCTAATATCACCGGATGCGTTGTGAATTCCTTTTAGTAAGGATTAGTCTCTCATACCTAATGAAAATACTTTAAAATCATCTGGACGGTGTAAAACAATGGCTTCATGTTATTTTCGCATCAACCAACATGCTTTATCGTCTTTCCGGCAGCGAACTGCGTAATATAGTCCTACGCATTAAGGAAGGGGCTACGCGGGATTGACTCTGAACAGCTATTTAGCACGTTTTATCATGCTCACTTTCGTTCGAATCGGCAGCCCGTACACATTCGTATAGCTGACCTCGGTAGTGATGAGACATCACGTACAACGTGCGCACGCTCCAGGACCCCTAAGTAAGCAATAAATTCACCCGATTTTAAGGAAGGGCGGCACTTAACCCTATATGAATAATTAAAAATAGTTAAAGCGTCAAAGAAGAAAAATAGACACAAAAGTGGACGATTCTTTGACATACGTACACGGCCAAAGTATATTGTCTATTTTACTCAAACAGCTTTTACAGCTTTTACTCGAACCACTTCTAATTATTTGAGAACATTTGTTTTTTGGACCTAATATCCATTGCGGTGACAGCGGCTAATATATATAGTATGGTAAATACAGTGTATATATACACACTCTGTATTTAATATATGTATATAAGCCCAGTAATTATTAGGATTATAAGCTTCATAAAGTAGATGAAATAATGCAGATCAAACTGATCAGGAGCGCGTAATTATTTAAATTATGCACAGATATTCAAACATGAGAGCCGCTTCTTACCTATTTTCATTTACAAGGGTTTTAAACTTGCTGTAAACAAATATCACCAGTGAAACCTAAATTGTCCATTACGTCGTAGAATGATAAAAAGCTTTTATAAAGTAAATAGGGCTCCAATGCTGTTATTTTAAGCCAAAACAAGCATTTTGGTTGAATAAAGATTGAACATTTGATTGTAAATCATACTAATCATACTCAGACTATCTTTACTACTACCTCGTGACGGACCATTTATGAGGTTAAGAATGTAGTACGGAATTTCTGGGAAGAAGCGATTTCTATGGAATCTCTTAAGAGGCGAGACACGAATGTATTGTTTTATTAGGACAATTGCCATGCCCAAAAATGTGTTAATTTTTATGGATTTGCATTTTAAAATAGAATTTCTTACACAGTCCAGAGCTGATTCTTAGCCAGTGTACTGCGATTCTTTACAAATATGAAACATGGAAAATGTCTTTGAGACAATTTTTTAGGAATGCTGAATATATAACAGTTAACCTTAGAATATCAACTTATGTGTTAAGGCAACCTTGGAGTCCTGGAAATATGTTATGTAAATCTTTGAGAAACTTAATGTTATAAAAAGTACCGTACAAATTATTTCACTTTTTGCAACCCACCTGATTTTTTGATGATACAGTAAAATACACAGAAGCTTATAATGCATGGACTAATATATTGTTCTATTGTTTTTCAGGCATTGTACGTAATATGCTTTCCATCTTTTTTAATCGCAAAAAAACAGTCGTCTAAACGGAACCTTTAAAGTGGTCCAGGTTCGAATTCATGCTGGAGATAAGCCAACTGTCTGATGGAACGCCTAACGACGATGCCGGACGTCGAACTCAAAACAGAGAAATTTTTTTTTTTTATTATACAGTAATAAAATGCGACTTTGAGGAATTTATAATTTTGTGCTATGCTACAATGGTGGCTTGAGGAATTTCAGGTTATTTGAATTGATGCAGATGGATGGACCAGACTAAGAACGTCTAGATTAGATAGTTGCCCGTGGAGAATGTAATCGAAATATTATATTTATACAGGTGGAATGATATATTATGCTTGGTCGAATCCGCCGGAAGTGAGCACGGAAGCTACGTCTCTAGCCAAAGCTCCACTTGTCATAATTACATTGTACGACATGATCTTAGATATGCGACGCCACTGCGGGCGCACACGAGCTATAAAACCGTGTAGTACGGAATTCCTTAAATTTTAGATAATGGTAGACAACCGCTTCACCGCGTGGGTCTTGTAGAGCGATTTCAGTCTCGCATGCTAACATACAACAAATCTGGCCACCATTGGAATGCTAAATGTAATGCTCCTGTCGAGCAACACATGCGTACATTTGGTCTATGGTAAGTCCGCGGGACAAATTCGGTTACAAAGTAATCCCTTTAGCAGTCCCAATTAGGAGGCTCCTCAGCAGTGTCGTGGAATTCGATTAGATATTTCACATTTACGTAATTTGTCGAAAGAATACTAATTGCAATAAAACACTCAACTAGTAGCATGATCGGAAAACATCATTTAGAAAAGTTAAGAAACACATTTTTTGCAAAACGCATTACATTTTATTCATATCGCTTGCATGCAAAAGTTTGTATAAATACCCTTTTTATGTAGGGGTTGACTCGTCGTTTGTTGATGGTGAAATAATATACCCAATCCAGAGGCGTTTTTTGTAGAGCAGAGTTTCCAAAGTTTTGTTTTTTGTTTTTGTTTGAACTGAATGGCCCTCTGCAGTACGACAATTTCTTCGACACTTAACAAACGTAAAATAATAGTAAGTTGTAAGCCAACGATATTTAAGCCATATTCGTTGTGTTTCAGTCATTATATGTTAACCGTTTTTGGCCCGTAGTTTCATAGTCGTTTCAACTCGATTCAACTTTCTTTTTTTTGGACAGATGGATTTTTCTGTAAGATGTCGAAAATCTTGCATTTGAAAAGGCTACGGAATTCTGTTAGATTATTATAGTGGACAATGAAAAGGTTGACCTAACAGACTTCCACCAACCGTTGGTTACTAATGTCACTTTCGGTTCATATTAGTTTTTATGTGGTTGGCGAAAACAATTTAGCTTTACAGATTCACTTACTTCAAAAACGTACGTAGACGAGTTGCGGTTGTTCGTAAGTTATAATTAAGGTACCACACTGGCCATTCTAGCGAGATGCTCTTGTTCAAATGACACGTATTCGTACGAACGAGGTACATTTGATTCGGCAGATTTTTTGCGGTACTTGTATGCTGAGTCTATGGTATCTAAGATTGCCCTTTTATTGTGAAATTCTCAGTTTCGTCGAACCAAATTTTAGGCGACAATAGCATGGTTCTCTTTCCCCGTGTTTTGAAAAAGCTCTCTCTATTACCAAGAAACAGCTTCTTCTAAGAGGTTGTAATTGGGCTGGGATATACTTCAGAATGAGTAACCGGAATCGTAGCCATAACAGCTGTTTACCTTTTGGTAAACCGAAATAACTTGTCGCTGTTAGCTTTCTGCAAAGTGTTTGCACTTCAGTAATGAAGCCCCAAACATTAAAATGCAGTAAGGAAAAAAGTATGCTTAGTAAGGGCAGATGTGACTTTTTTATAATTATGTTGTATGTATAACATATAATGTTTGATTAGAGGCGACTGATCTTATTCGTGTTAACTCTAAAAGATGCAAGTAGATTGTAATGATCAAATCCCTTTGCTACTGTTGTACTGTTATTTTATTATCATAAGG